GTCGACTTTATAAAATTATCTCGTCACACACACTCGCATATCTGGGGACATCTGACCGCGGAACGATCTGCTACAGAAATCGGAACAGAAAGCGTAAACATATGACGCCCAGGCCATATGACTTCGGGCGACTGTAATGTTTCGTAAGGTTCGGCTGAAGTAATATAACGTAACGTAATGTAACGTAACTCTAACTCAACCCTAACCGGTCGCAACATGACATATACAGGTGTTGTTCCGCGTGCAGAACACCAGCCTTTAGGAAACAAGGTGTAGCAACGTCACGGAAACGACTCTCTCCCCTCTCACGCTGCCGGCGTTTCCGCTTAAGAATCGTAGAGGATATTGTAGAGCCGGGAAACAAAACAAAACGAAGCTGAACGTAACGCACGGAACTTCCTCGAAACCGTTTGTGAAATCTGAGGAAGAGGGAGATGCCCGTAAAGCCCATTCTATATAATTGCGTAAGCGTTAGTTGTAATTGGTTGTAAGAATTGAAGAATCACAGTCGAATATGACGAGACTATTACAATAATTTCGATCATATTCGGTTGGTCAATTCTTGTAACTACAATTATACAGACAAAAATATTATTGTATATTCCTAGAAAAAGAAAAGTGATTACTCAATTTATTTTCTTCCTTTTAAATAATCTTAAAGTTGTCTTCAATAAAGAATATTTTCCTGGTAATAATCTTAAAATATACTTATTATAAATTTCATAAAAATTGTATTTAAAGAATTTATTTATTTTTGTTTTTAAAGAATATTATAAAATTGTTCGAGGAAGCGAGACTTTATATGATAAGCATATCGAATTTGTTTTAATTTAATAATCTTGATTGAAATATTAAGCTTACCAGGATTCAGAATATATTCTAAATAAATTCGATGCTTTTGATAAATTTATTACAGATTAGAGGCTATATGAACTTTTTAAATACTTGAAACAAGTAATTATTACTTGCGTACAGTAAATATTTTTCTGTGTGTACGCTTATGCAGTTGTAGAATGGGCTTCACGTAGCGTTTTTCAATCTTTCTCCATTTACGGTACATTAAATAGCGAGCCAAATTTCTCGAGGTTCATCATTAATTAGGCGTATACGCTTCAGCGCTCAACGTATATCTGACCAGATACCGTTAACACGAAAATAAAAAGCAAAATTTTAAAAATTCATTTATAAGATGAAAAGTAAAATTCTAAAAATTTTATTTTTTATTTTATTGTAAAGTAAAAGTGATTTTGTTGTTTACTTGCAATGATATCGTTGATTAGGAATGATTATGAGAGCAAATAATATAATTGATATGATTTTTACGATTTTAGAAACATTTTTTTATCTCGCGTCTCACTCGGTTCTTCTTCCTAAATTTTTTTACCTTTTCTTTCACCTCCTTTGAAATTTTTGCGGCACACTTGGAGAAAGTGTTTGTGGCACATTGGCTGAAAAATCTTGCTGCAAAGCATCCTTTGCTTTATCAGGCAATGATGCTGATTTGACTATTGACTATTTGGAATCACTTATTTGCTTCGAGACTAACAATGATAACATTATTGTGCATACAAGATTGGTTTATGATAAGTCCGATAAATTAAATACAAAGAGCACGAATGAAAAAGATGTAAGATAAAGCGCCAGCAAAGCTGTTACTATCATAGACATATAAGATAGATCCAGCATTAACTATATATGTATACCTGTGTTTGACAGAACGAATCTGGCAAAAAAGTGATGTTGAAGTTAACGACTATTCAGATTAGAAAATCTGTCATATTAATGGCATAGAGGGACATGAGAACGAACATGTAAAGGGCTGGAATAAATATTCTGCTTTAATTTCATCAAAATCGGTGAGAAAGATGGTAGTCTTGAGTATTACCCTTATATCTTATTTTATTTTTTTCCATAATATAAATGTCAAGATGCGTATGCAGAGAAGAATAGGTTGCCCCGATATTTTGTCTCTCGCATCGTTCTGCGAAACCCAGCATACACTATAGAAAAGTGTACGGATGCTGGGTCTATCTTGTATGTCTACGGTTATTGTTACAACACTTACTTGTAACAAAAATAAGATCGTTAGAGCGCAAAGTAGACAAAACAAAAACATAGATATCGTAGAATATAATACCAGACAGATAATTTAGAATAATGTGCAACTTATCATTTCTGATAAATTAAATTTTCTGAAAAAGAGAGAGACAGATAGAGAAAGAAAATTAATGAATGAATCTTTATAAGTTTTCTCAACTATTTAAAAAAAACACAATTTTAACAAATCATCTTAACATTCTAAACGTAAGTAACATTAAATGATATATATATATATATATATACTTTTAACATTTGCTCATAGCTCAAGTCTCTCACACTTTTGTCTCATATCGTAAGAGAAAGAGGAGGGAGAAGGGAGGGGAGGGAAGAAAATCTTGAACTTCAACATCTCGTTTGCGAAGAAACTCTCAGTTACG